ATTATTATTATTATTTTGGAATTGCTTGCAACCTTTTCTTACTGGTGCACATTGCCTGGCCACCTAAGGCCTCCGGGCGGAGCCCAGAGAGTGGTTCCAAACGTGCCTTCGGTACCTGCCTCATCCACCGTGACCATAGCCCAGAGAGAAATTTTTTCTTATTGGTCGGGTGGTCAGGGGAGCAGTCTTGGTATTTGCTCCAATCTAGCTTCTGCCAACTACTTGCCCACCTGAGTTTCTTCTCAGTCTTTTTGTTGGGATTACTCAAGCGGGATGGAGGGATCCCCGTTGCCTCAAAATTTGGGCACGCCCTCTCCATCACCCAATTACGGCTACACCAAACCTTCTGAACAGAAGGTGGCAGGCAAGTGCAAAGCTAAGACCAAACATACACAAAAGAAGGCATCCAAGTTGGCAGAAAAGCAAGCCAGCCGTAGGCACCAGGCTCTTGAGAAGGAATTCTCTAGAGCACAGAGGCAGGCCCAATTGGACATGGATCAAATGGCGGCTACCGAGATGGAACTCCCATTGGGCCCATCAACATCAACCCAGGGGGTGTGGTCTCTCCAGGGAATGCCGATCACATTGGGTTCACCCTCTACATCGGCTCAGCAAGCGACATCGGTCCCGGGAACTGTACCTGAATCCACATTTACGCCCACAGCCGCTGGACTCGGGTCCTGACATTGGAGATATTTTCTCCGATGGACGTTTGGAGGCCTTACTAGCCAGGGTTGTGGACCGTGCTCTGGCTCAGCGCTCTGTCCATCCCGATCAGGAGGCCTCCACCTCGGCCATGCCACAGTACGAACTGCCTATAGAGATCCCGGCACCCCAGGAACCTGCCTCTCCCGGCCAGTCCTCCATGAGTGGGTATTCCCTCAAGCGGAGGAGCATCCAGAAATCACTCTGTCAGAGGATGAGGAACTCCCCCCTGAGCCCTCTCCTTCAGGGGGTCTCTTTAATTCCAATCTTTTCCTCACAATACTACGTAAGGCCACCATTACTACCAATCTAGGGGCGGAACAGTTCCCTCAGCCGCAGATGGCGTCGGACAACTCACCCAGACCAATATTTGTTCAAAAGATGGCTACTGAACATCATGTGCCGTGTCCTTCTATGTTTCTGACGGGGATTAAGAAACCATGGGAATCTCCCTCTTCTTTTCCCTCGGTGAGTGGCACGGACAAAAGAATGTTCAGTACCTCCAAGGATCTGTCTGATGCTCTGGAGGTCCCCAAGGTGGATGAAGCCTGGACCCCCCTGGTTTCCCAAACTGCCATTGCTGGGGACCTATCGGAGGCATTGAAGGCTGATGACAAGAGGTGGGAACAAACATTCCGCAAACCGCATCAGTCGATGGCATGGGCCATTAAAACGGCCACTTGCGCTTCATTCTTTGTCCGGACCACCCTACTA